CAGGCAAGACGCCCCTTGCTGGCACTAGCTTCAGTCTCTTGGTTTTCTAGTTTCCCAAAGAAGTCCCTTTCTGAACTCACTGACTTGTCTGAGTCACTGGTTGACCTGAGTGGCAAGAAACAAACATGAGTTCACCATTACAGCTTAGGCACATTCATTGCATTCTGAAAATATGGGTTTTTCCAATCACAGTGGGTTTAGCAGGATGTGACCTCATTGTAAATTGAGCAGAACCCATATTGTACTACAGATCAAGTCACACCATATCAAAACATATGTCATAACATGTCATGCACTATTATGGCTTGTCCCCCCAAAGCCTCACGTGCTTGGGGTTTCAGGGAGGTGGCTTGACCATAGGTGTATGATGCTATAATTTTAAGGATGTGTGATGATTGAGTTGGTTTAGCATGATTCTGGTTGTGGATAATAGGAACCCCCACCTTGGGTGAGGGTAGCACCAACCATTAGGCTTGCAGCCTGCATGGAATAAAAGGGAGAGATGGAAATCAGGCTACAGGCTGATGGGTGCTTTGCTGCATCCTGCATGCCCTGCCATGGACTGCTGCCCCTCTACCATGCTGCCCTGCCTTGGAGCCAGCTGACTATGGACTGAAACCTCTACAAACTGTAAGCGGAAATAAACTGCTTCTCTTTTAACATTGGGCATCAGGTATTGTGTCTCAGCAACAAGAAAAGTTGCTAAGACATCTACTCTGCAACACCACATCATAGCACAGTATTGTCATACCATGCAATAGCTACCATATCATGCCACGTCATGTCACATATCATACCATATCTAAGTACAGAAAACCAGCCTTCCACTCTGCAGTGGGTCTTACAGTCAGTCCATCCCAGCAGCAAGCTCTCACAGAAGACACAGGCGCCACTGCCTTTCACCTTGGGTCATCAAAGAAGCTAACACTCAGTGACCTCACTCAGAGAATTCTGAAGGCCAAACTCCTAAATTAACTATGAAGCTGGAACGGACAAGTTGTAGCTCTCATGTTGCTGTCAGGTCTGATATCTCCACCGAGGACCAGGCATAGCCCTGGGTCCCTTTATCTCAGGGAGACCCTAGAGGCCCCTGCAGCCAGCACTACCCGGTGGGCCCAAAGAAACAGAATCCTTGGAGCCTGCCCCTGGACAGTGGCAGTGTATACTGGAGAAAAGGTCAGAATAGAGAAAAGCCAGGAATGGCCGGACTTGTGTCCCACATCTGAGGTCTCGGTGACAGATGCTTCAGGGTTCCAGGGGTTCTCTGGGACAGGCAGACTGATCCCTCTCCAGGCAGAATCAAGCTCTAGTCAAAGAGGAACTGTAAAAACCCTCAGTTCAGGCAACCCAAGATGTTCAAGCAAGGCTTTTGCACTACTATTTTAGCTATGCAAGACATTCATCATTCAGGGAGTTTGTTAAGCACTTACTATGTGTCAGGTCCCATGTGCTAGCAAGGAAGAGATAAGTAAAATAGACTTCCTGCCTTCATGGGGCTCCTGACTGAGCCACTGGCCAGAAGTAACTCCACTGCTGTGGAACATCAGCTCAGCCACGGCGCTACCTGAGCCTTGGTTCTCTCATTGTAAAATGGACCTAGAGTTGTGGAGTCTCAGTGAGCCAACAGAACCAAGAGGCTTAGAGGAGAGTTCGGCTCTCAGAAAGCCCAGTACACACACAGGCTATGGTCACTGTCAGGGCTTGGTTGAGGAGGCAGAGGGGGCTAAAGAGGACTGGCTGGAGAGCCAAGAGTCCAGAGAAACACCTGAGAAGAAGGCAGTGTCCTACCGAGAACAGGACACCAGGTGGCCGAACAGCAAGGGCAAATGTCCAGAGGTGACAAAAGCTAGATTAGTTTCAGAGAAAGCTAAGAGACCATGCCAGCCAGAGCCTAGTGGGGCTGATTGTACTCTAGGGCTGTGGGAACCATGGGTGTCTCACATGTGGGCCGGTTTTCAGGAAGACCTCTGCCTTCAGGTGGGGGATGCTATGGAACGCAGGTAAAAGACAGAGGTGGCCTGGACCAGGATGGCTCGGAGTGAGGGTGCAGGCACCAAACACACAAAGGGGTAATGACACAATGTTGCTTCCACGAGGGTGGGGATGGGATCTATCCCGTCCACTACTACATCTCCAGAAGCTGGTACATCCTGAGGGATTTAAGGAGCACTATGGTGTGTGTTTAAATTTAAAAAGTAATGCAATAAAGGATACATTGTCATTAACCCCCCTAAAAACACTCCCCTTCATTTTGAAACCCACTTTTCCCACTGTTGTTGATATTTCTGAAACAGTTCTTGAAGTCTTCTTGTGAGTGTCTTTTTGAGGCGTGATAAAATTACAGTGCGTGCGGCTGCCTAGTGCCATCCAACAGAAAGGCAGTCTTAAAAAGTCCTTATGGGGTGTTATCATGGTTGATACATTGTGTCGACTTGCAAAGTTTACAAGTTTAACTAAGAGACTCAGCAGGAAGCCAGGGTTCTTGCTTGTAAACATCCTCATCCTGTGCAAGAGGAGGACAAGGAGATTTTGTGAGTGCTACACCACCCTGCAGGGGGGTGGCCCATGTATGATATAAGGGAGAAGAGGCTTGTTCTCCCAGTTCTGCTCTTGTTGCTGTGCTGTCTTCTGCTGCCTTGAAGTACTGCCCCGTTCCATGCCATCCTGCCTTGAAGCCTGTTGCTTATAGACTGAAACCTCCACAAACTGTGAGTGAAACAACCCTTTCCTTCTTGAATTTTGGGTGTCAGGTATTTTGTCCTAGCAAGAGAAGAAAATAACCAAGACAAGTGTGTTTTTGTCTTTTTCATTCAACAGATTTGGTAAAGCACAATTTCTAGCTCTTCTCCAAAGTCAAAATGACAGTGAAAAGTAAATTCTTTGATCAAGGCAGCCACAACAGTGAAACTAAAGATACTCATGAGAGAAGACTTCAGAACTGCTTCAGAAAGTGGAAAAAAAGGTAAGCGTTTTGAAGTGAGGAAGGGGTATCTTGAGGGTGATTAATGAGTCTTTTTAGTTTTAAAAATTTAAACATTTAAATTAGTTATTGAGCATTCCTCATAGAAACCTGGTAAATATTTGTGGATTTCATAGCTCTGACAGGGGGGACTTGCACATGATGACTTGGACAGAGGGATGCAGTGGAAATGGAGACCCAGGGAAATAAAGCAACTTGCCCAGTACCACACAGCAAAGAAGGGGCAGGATGGGGCTGTGTGTCTGGATGTCTTTTGACCTTGCTCATCTGGCCCAGGGACCCAGGAGCATCAGGACCAACCAGGGCTTGGTCACTTTGCGGAGGATGGGAAGGTGGCCAGCAGCATGCCAGGTTGGCTATCACTGCTTAAGAACCTGGGTTTTTCTCTAGAGTGAAACCCTGCAGCCATATAAAAGCATCCTCCTTCCTGACTGCCTCTCAGCAGCATGCCCAGCCTTGAGCCTCCCACGTGCTCCCGGGCGGCCACCGGACCCCCTCCCTGTGCCACTCCAGAGGCAATTTAATCTCTGGGTGTCCAGTTCTCTGACTCGTTCCAGGAAGGGGGTGAGTGGGGTAAATTGCGAAATTCTCATGAATTATTGACCCAGAGCTGTTGTGGCCACTGGAAGACTTTGTGTGTAGTCCACACGGTGGCTCTCAGCCTCAGATGACCAAGAAGCAATGGCCACACAGATAGCATAGGAGAGACAACCCTTCTGAGTGTAAGATGTTGGCTAATGCTGTGCCAGCATCGCACAGCCACTGGCCTGGGTCTTCAAGTAGCTTTGGAGGATCCTCCCACCCGTCACAGGGAAATTGTTTGAATTTCTATCTTTCTCTCGTCCTTTTCAAGCTGATGGCCAGGCTCGTTGCGACACATGGCTTCAGGAATATGTTTGCAGGGCAGGAAGACAACAGCAGCCCATGAAACAAAGACTGTCCTAGTCTCTGAAGGAGGCCAGATGGTCACAAACCCCAGCACCTACAGGGACACACGTAACGGGATAAGGAAGAAAGCAGAAGAGCCAATGCCTCTGACCTCAGCCCAGGAGGGCTGGGACATCTGCATTTTTCAGGAGATGGTGGATATCTGGATATTTAAAATAACCCACTTTTTAAGTCTATTGAGATGGTACAAAAATGATCAGTGGTTACCAGAGTGTTGGTGGGGAGAGAGGGAGGGAGGAAGGAATGGGGGAGCACGGAGGATGTCATGATATGATCGTCAGAGCCGGGATGTAGCTCTGTGGTAGAGCCCTTGCTTAGCATGCACCGGGCCCTGGGTTCCACCCCCGACACTGACAAGAAAAACTAAAAAGACTCCACTTGTCAGCCTCCGTAGTCTGTACAGCACAGACGGAAGCTTCATGTAAACCGCAGGCGTCAGTGACAATAAGGGTTCACTGTACCAAACGTCGCCCACACATACAAGATGCTAATAGCAGAGGAAGCTGTGGAAGCGGGGGACTAAAGGGCACACAGAACTCTTTGTTCAGTTTCCCTGTAAATTGAAAACTGCCCCCCTCAAATAAAGCCTATTACAACAAACAAAAAAGTCAGTCAACACACCATGAGAGCAACCCAAGTGAGCCACCTCTAATCGTGTTCGCTCTGTCCTGGACATTGTTGAAAGCTTCAGGGGGCATCCTGGGAGAGGTCAGAGGTGAGCGAGTGACAGGTTCCAGCAGTGCCCATGAAAACAGCTGGACCCTGGTGCCAGAAATACCGACTGGCCCACGGTTTCCCTCCTCAAGGCTCAGAGCAAGAAGAACAGGGCTTCTGGACTTGGGGGATACATGCGAGATGAGCACAAGGGGCTTGCTGGGGTGGGGACACAAGTAAGTCCCTGGCAGTAGCTCTCCATCTTGGGGAGAAGAGAGCCCCAGTAATGACTACAATTAAATTTCATGCAACTCAGTAGATTCCAAGTTGCATTTGACATAATTTAAAAGGATTTAAGAAAGCTGATATTTCTGGTGCACCTGAATTTGGGGGCCTAAATGGATTCCGTGATACTTACCTCCCACACCTGTCCGCCTCCACGGAATTCAGCAATCTGTCAAACCAGACTCTTCAGTGTGCTGTCTGCTTAATATAGACGTCCAACCCATTCTTAGAAAGGCTGTCCTCAAATCCAACCAAAATCCACTCGGAGGTCCCAGGAACATTAGATGACATTTATGGAAAAATTAACATTGATACGCCGGCCACTTTCCAAGTGTTGTCACAAAGGCTCTGACAGCTAGTGTTGGTGGGCACTTTCTAGGTGCTGAGCTCCGTGCTCAGCTAAGGCGAGTGAGCATTAACCTGCCACACAGAGGAGGACGCAGGGCAAGAGTCTGGCTGGCTGGCCTGAGGTTCCCGTTGGTAAGCGGCTGGGCTGGGCGGTGACCCCCAACACAGGCTCCGTCTCCTCTGTGTGATGAATCAGTGCCTCTGCCTTCCCCTTCTCTCCATCTGACAATCCTTGCACACAGTGCAAAGCCAAATGAAATAATCTATTTTCTGCTCACGTGAAAATTTTAAGAGTTTTGGCAACCATGTAGGAAGCCTCTCAAAACACTTTCAAAATCAGACATTTGAACAATATTTGAATTGCAGCAGATGGCGTGTTGGTGCAGAACAGTGTGTGTGTGTGTGTGTGTGTGTGTGTGTGTGTGTGTGCACGCATGCGCAAGGGCACGATCCAGAGGGTTGGCAATGTGTATTTTTAAGAGAAATCAACATGTCACTTCAAACACAGGATCTCCAGCAGTTTCCTACATCTGCTGAATGGCTTCAGCAAGGCAAGAAATCTCGGGCAATGTGGGAGGCGACCTGATAGCAATAATAGTATTTGTAATTGTTAAAATGTTTGCACTGTGCCCAGCCCAGAGCTTGTACTTTGCATGAGTACAGTTGTTTAAATCCCACCACAAACTTCTGAAGAAGTCTTCCCCCATCATGCAGGATGAGACAGGTGAGGTGACCCGCCCAAGGTCGCAGTTTATAAGTGTAGAATGGGAATTTGAATGCAGTTCCATCCGGCTCACAGGGCCCACATGGCCCACCATTAAGTTTTCTGGCGCTTTTCTCATGTTCCTCCTAGGCAGCGTGAGGACACACTTCCACCTGCCCTAAAATGTCAGTGATTCTACAGTTATTTTGATGGGGACGGTTCAAAACATTATTAGGGAACTTCAAGCCTAGATTTCTCGTGTATCTTCACTGAGGAAGGCAGCTGAATGAAGAGGTGAGTTGGTTTAAGATCCATTTAAAGGAAAACACAGCTCTAGGGGGAAATTCTCAAAAGACAGATCCAGATGTTTGGGCGCATCACAAATCTGAACAAAAGCTGCCAGTGAAGAGGAGACTGGGCACTTGAGCATCACCCTGGGAAGGTATTTTCCCTTTGGGGAGCCTCCTAGAGCCTCTTCATGGTGGGCAAATAATGTCTCCTCCAAATGTCAACATTCTAATCCCTTGGCCATGTCACCTGGTATGCAACAGGGACTCTGTCGATGTGGATGAGTTAAGGACCTCGAGACAGAGGCATTAACTTGGATTATGGAGTGGGTATGATGTCATCACAAAGATCTTTTTAAGGAAAAGACATAGACAAGAAGGTCAGAGTCAGGGATGTGATGACCAGCGAATACCCTAGGGGTCTTTGCTATGGTAGAGGTCTAAGATGTCCCCCAAAAGCCTCATGTTCAGAGTTGGGGCTTTTAGAAAGTGTTCTGATCACAGGAGATGCCAGATTCATCAGTAGATTATCCATAACGAGTTCACGGCCTTCTAGGTAGGCCCTGGTTGGAGGTGGGTCATGAGGGCACCACCCAAAGTGTGTGTTCCTGTCCCCAACTCCTGCCTTCCTCGTTGTTTCCTGGCTGTATGATGAAACAGCTGTCCTCCCTCAGGTCCTCTTCCTATGTTGGAAGCCTTGGAGCTGGCCAGCCATGGACTGAACCCACTGGAAACCGTGAGTCTCCTGTAAGTTTTGGTGTTGAGTATTTTATACCAAAGATAGGAAAGTGGCTAACGAAATGCCATTGCTGGCTTTGAGGTGGAAAACAGTCACAAACCAAAGAACCTGGACAGCTTCTAGACAGGGAAAAACCAAGGAGCCAGTTTTCCTCTGCAGACTCTGAAGGATCTCAGTCCGGCTATATCTCGATTTTGGCTCAGCCCAGTAAGACCTAGTTTGGACTTAAGATCTCCAGCACAATCACGCATTGTATTTGGCCACTGCCTTGTAGTGATGTCACAGCAGGGACAGGAGGGAACCTGCTAGATCCGTCAATATCTCTATAGAGGTCCTGGCCTACTTGGGACGCTTGGGGGTCTCCTTCATGACTCTCTCAGTGTTCTGGCCTCTCTTCTCCATTAATAAGGAAAATATTTCAATTTATTGCTCCAACCATACAGTGAATAGCATGCTTAACCTAGACTGAGAAAGCCACCCAGCATCATGGACACGGGTGCCTGTTACTCAGATCCACAGCTGCTGTCCAGATGCCCTCTGCTCCTTCCCTGCCCTGCTGTGAGCCAGGTGGTCAGTATGAGTCACATCAGTAAGCTTTCTGCTCCACTCTGGTCACTTGGGCTTGGCCACAGGGAGACGTCAGCGGGAACCCAGGAGGTGGGGGAGGATGGTCAGCACATCCGCTCCCCCCCTCCAGCTCCCTTCTTTCTGCAGAGCCACTGGGGTTGGCTGAGCTCTGCACCGAGGAGCATGGAGCTGCAGGGACCCTCTGCGCACGGCCACTGTCCCCAGGTTCCTGCTCTTTGCCGTTCATGCCTGTGGGTGTAACATCAACAGCCAGGTAGGGGAAAACCCAGTGCTGGAACCCAAGTCTACCTACAACCCTGGGCCAGAGTTTGTCAGGGAGGCTCGCAGGCTGAGGGCTGTAGAGGGCTAGGACACAGATTTTATTATTTTACTTGACTTCATTGCTAGTACTTCATGATGAATCCCCGCTTCTCTTGAAAAATAAACTCAGCCAGCATGCTTTCAAGTGCTTTCAGTGCTGATTCCATCGATCCTCAAAACAACTCTATAAGGTAAATACCAGTGCAACTTAATTTTAAATGTGGGGAAACTGAGGCACAGAGATTAAATCACTTGTCTGAGGTCTCTCAGCTAGCATGTGCTGGAACTGTGCTACATTCATAGGCTTTGGAAAACAGCCTTCCACCATAGCATGAGCTCCCCACACTGCCAAGGTCTGCAACAAACCTACTTTATATCACCTGCCTGGTCCCCCAAAGCATCTGATTTTAGAGTTTCCCAAGGCTTTGCCGTGTTTTCAAGGGAAGTAAACCCCAGCTCTCCCCTTGGGCTTCTGGGTTGGGACTGGTTAATTCTTAGGCATCACCTTTATCCCAGAGCAGGCTCGGCCACCAAGTGAGAAATTTGTTATCGTTCTGAACATGGCTCACAGGAGAACACTGTCCAGGGCTCAGTGCCACACAGCACTGGTGCCTGCCTGGCACACTCTTCTCTGACCACATCACGGACTTCTCAGTGTGGCCAGCGCCTGGCTGGAGCCTGCGGGAGCCCGGCACTCATGCCCCTGTGCACACAGCACACAGAAGCCTTGTTCTCCTGGCTCCTGCCATGCTCAGGTTGGATGCTTGCCTTGGGCTGAGCAGGGCTCTAACTTTGTCCTCCCTTGGCCACCATGCCCTATCAGCCCACCCACAGGGAAAGTGAGCCATGCAGAAGCACTTTCTAAATGGCTATGAAATCAGAGTTGGCTGTGCCTCCAGGCAGGGCATCACCCTTAGAACGGGCAGTTTTGCTGGATTTTGTTTCTCTCTTTTTATTTTTGGTTCTTCCAAGGTTTCCTGAGTGCCCCAGGGAACCGAGGGGAGGAATTCCACTAAATGCCCTCACTGTGAGTAACTGAACCTTCCCCAGATCCTCGAGAGGCACCAGGAGGGCGGAGGCCGGGGCTGGCAAAGGGATGATGGTGCTCTTATCATGAAGGAGGCAGTCGAGGGGTAACTGACGAGAACAGTTGGAGAGAACTGGTTTGACCTCAAGGGAGGCAAACATATTCCAGAAAGAGATGAGAAGTGTTATCTTGCCAAAGAGAGCAATTAATTGCACATTATTCTATGGAGTAGATTTTCATCTCTGAAAACTCTGAGATCAGAAGGAACTAGATCAGTCCCAGAGAGCAGTCTCAATGGAGTCCTCAGCTCATAAATATTTATGCGGTGTTCCTGTGTACTGGACATTCCGGGAGGTGCCTGGAGGACTGCCCGGAGGAGGAGGCACCCGTCAGAGTTAGGCCTAGATCCTAACCTTGACTTTGGTTCTGACTATGCACCTTGGGCATTTCCCTTTCCCCCCAGGCATCAGCTTCCCCAGATATAAAATGAGAGAGTGCATCCAGATCTCAGCTTGCTCCCCTCCGATCCACAACTCCCCATGGGGCTCAGGAGCGTGGCAAAGGCTGTTCACGTGTCCTACCCCGCTGCACACTCAGCTCGTCAGAGCGTTAACCACCAATGGGTATTGCGCCTTCATGAGCCAGTCACCTTTCCACAGCCCGCCTCTGACCACAAGCCTTTGGGGGACCTTTAAGATCTCACCCATCACAGGGTGTTTCCTCCCAGAGCTGTCACACAGATCTACCCCGGTGATTCCCAGCCATGGCTCAGGACCCCCACACTGGGCATGGAACCTGACCTGGGCACCATGTTGGGACCAGACCACAGAGAAGGGAAGACCAAGATGAGGATGCCAATCTCCTCTCAAGCATGGCAGAGCGCCAACTGCACGCAGAGCCCTGGCCACTGCCCATGCCTTCCTTGGCAGGAGACCAACCTTGGGCAAACCAGTTCTCTCCCTAGCTCTGGAAAACTGGCATCCTCCACTCCCTGGCTGAGCTGATGCCCCCTCCTCACATCTCTCTTTCATATCTCTTCCTCAGAATAACCCTCTGAACCCCCTGCCCAAATAAATAAGTCTCCTTTCTGGATGCGCCAAAGCACTGCAATCCCTCCCTTAGGGGAAGCTCTTTACCCTTCTTTGAAGTGAGTTAAGTATTACTGAAAATCAGCCCGGCCAGAGGGGAAGGGGTGCTGAAGTGTACAATCTTCGGCTTTGTCAGAGATGCCTGGGTTCAGACTGTGAGGCTGCCACCCACAGCACAACCCCACACTATCAGGTCTCCTCCCAGAGCCTCAGTTTCCCATCTCTAAAAGAGGGCACCCGTGCACCATTGCAGACAGTGCATGCTCAGAGTACAATAATAATTCTTTATTCTTATTACTGTTGTCATTACTGCAGTGATTAAAGCACAAACTCTTGTGCCAGTATTAAGGTAAACATAGAGGTACATTAAAGTATTCCGGCCTCTGAAGAGCTTTACCTGCTTCTCCAGGAAGGCTGGGAGCAGAAGGCTGGGCCTCAGCCTTTTCATCTGGGAAGTGGGCTCTCAGGAGGATTTCTCTACAAAGCAGGCACAGGCACTTGAATGCACATGCTGAGTCACCACTGATGCATCCTGACAGCTCCCGGGACAGCTCCTGGGAAGTTTCTACCCACAGGGAGGGGGCAGTGAGATTCGCGGACACTGAAAAATCCTGCAAAGCCACAGCTGCGA